CATTTTCTCCCAGAGTATTGGTTCTGGGGCAGCAGTCAGCCCATTGTTCCTACCCAGTGTGGTTCCTCCAAACACAGTGCTCAAGCTGGCGGCATGAATGATGCTTGGAGAACAGAAGTGCCCAGCACACCCCCCCATTCCTGCACTTGTGGTCAGCTGACCACCCAACTCCAAAGCCATTCAGTCTAGATGTAAGGGTTCCAGCACAACAACCTCCACCCCTCCTTCAGTGAGTACACAGCAGCCCACGTCAACTGTCTCTTCACATACTTTCACATGGTGAGCGGGCAAATCATATAACTTAGGAAACTGGTCTTGCTCCACTGTACTAACGATTGTGGGACAATGTGGATGACAGGAAATAAATTCCTCTGTTGCCCAGGGAACATGCACTCACAGTTGGAGCACCTCCCTTGGAGCAGCTGAACATCTAGATGCCATTTAGGATGGGAACCATAGCTGGCCTTTGCTACTTTTTCTTTGTATTGTCGTGAGCCAGTCAAGGACTAAGGCTCTTTTTGTTGCTCACCATCAGTACAACACAAATGTTTGCTTCTCTGGCCTGCTTCCACTTAAAGAAGCTAACACACCAGATGCTCAGACCCGTGAATGGCTGATGACAAAGGCCTTAAATTTTTTTTCTCACTATGGAGCCCCAGATGACCTGGAACTTGCTGTGTGGATCAGGCTTGCCTCTGCCTGCCGAGTGCTGTGGTTAAAGGCATGAGCCACCATGCCCAGCTCAAAGGCCATTTTAAACAGCAGTTCTCAGCTTGAGAAAAACAATTAGTCTGGTCTGGTTTTGCAGGTCTGTGAGTCAGCTACTGCAGAGGCAGAGACAGGAAGACCACAATTTCAAGGCTGCTGGGAATACAGAAGGAGTTCATGTTCAACTTGGGCAACTTAGCAAGACGCGTCTCAAAATGAAAATGTTGAGTCTGGACAAATGGCTCAGTGATTAAGAACACTGGCTAGTTTTCCAGAAGACACAGGTTCGATTCCTAGCACTCACATGATGGCTCATAAACATCTATTACTTCAATTCCATCGAGTCCATAGCTTCTAGACTCTTCAGGCACTAGGCATGAAGGCAGTGTGCAAACATACATGCAAGCAAAACACACACGTTATATAAATGAATGAAATAAATATTAAATGTCAGAAATGAAGGGCTGGTGGTGTAGCTCAGTGGTGAAGTATTTGTCCAACAGGCATGAGGCCCTGGGTTTAGCCCCCTGTACTAGCGCACTGTGGGAAAGAGGAGAGCTATTATACAGATCTATTAAGTAAAGCTTGAGAATTGCTGGGATGCAAAGCCAAGGCCCCTCTGTTACTTGAAACCTGAAACTGTGCTTTGGAGCCCACGAGCCACATTAAGAGCAACTTATTTCTATTGCTCATGGTAGTGAAAGAAGAAACTATCAGAGGAAGCTTATACATTGACTGGAGAGCTTGGGCTAGCTTGCTTGAGAGCTGACCCTCGCGAGTTCTATTTCACTACAGTGTATTCTTTCCATAAAACGTGATCAATACGGTGTCTCTGGAAATCTTGGTGTTCAGAATCCAAAGGGCAAAAGATGTTCAGGTTTGGGGAGAAATGCAGTGGTTCCCAAACTGTGAGTCACAACCCCTTTGCGGGTCAAACAACTTTTTTACAGGGGTCACCTAAGAACACCGGAAAAATACAGATATACAATATGATTCATAACAGCAGCAAAATTACCGTTATAAAGTAGCAATGAAGAGAATTTTATGGTTGGGGTCACTGCAACAGAAGAAACTGTATGAAAGGGTTGCAGCATCAGGAAGGCTGAGACCCTCTGGAGTGGGTTATGTTGCCTGAGGGAGGGAGGACTGTCAGGCATGTTCTGTAGAGACTCTTGCTCTGCTCAGCGCTCCCAGCACTCGTTCTCCTCATCAAAGGTTTTCATTCACAAGCACAACTCTTTCATCCATGAACCAGAAAGACCTCAAAACCCCTGCCTCTGCTTCAGAGAGTAGCTCAACAGCCTAACTGTCACAGTCATTGATGAGATCCGTGGTCCACTTCGGAACCACAGAATCAGAGGAGCCCACAGGAACTGACAAAGAAGCTTACAGCTGGCACGATGGGAAAGCCATGCTCTGAGCATTGCAAAGTGCTCAGTACTCAAGCCCAACACAAGTCAATGAGGGAATGCTTGGGAATGGGGTTCAAGTACTGAAATGTTCAGGTATCCCCTGAACATGAGGCCAAAACACACACAAGATTGAGCACTACAGGTTTGGCATGGCACATCATGGCTATCTGGAGACTGATTCCAGATACGTGATTCGAGGCCACTCTAGTCAGTGACTTTAGGAGGGTCATGAAATCTGATGTATCGGTCTTTAAAACAATCCCAGGTTCCTCAACACTTCTCCCATTGTGAGGAGGAGTGCGTCCTCTCTCCTGGAAGACGGATGAACTTTAGCCTACTACATCTGAGAAGGTATTACATCATTGATGTTCTCTTCCTTCTCGGGCTTGCTGTGATAGGCTATCCACTCTGCCAGCAGAGACTCATTTTAGATCCCTGAGGCCATCATAGAAGTCCAACTTCCTGGAGCTCCCACACTGCGGGGAAGATCAGGACACACACAGAAGACACGTGGGGGCTGTCACAGCATACTTCCCCTCTGAACATCCATAGGCATTTCCTTATTTAGATGACTTCTTTATGTAATACATAAAAGTACATTTATGTAATATATACATTATATATGTATAAACTTTTTAAGACAGTCATTTTGTGGTTATTTTATTGTAGCAGCCACAGAAAACTACGACAGTCATAATGAATCCCTTCATCTAATGTCTCTGCATCTACATGAGGAAGAAAAGGTAGTAAATTCCAGTTTTATTCCTTTCATTTCCCTATGCTTCTTTACAAAATAGAGAGAAAAAGAGATTGGTAGATGTGAATGTCAGCCAGTGTGAAGACCAGAGGTAGACAATGGATATCCTTTTCAATAGCTCTCCACATTTTGTTTATTCATTAACTCATTCCTTTAAGACAGGGACTGCCGCTGGCCTGGAACTCTTCCCTGGGGCTAGACTGGCCAGTGAGCTTCTGGAATCAGCCAGGTCTCCACAGCCTGGGTCACAGAACAGCCCATCCCCAGCTTTTAAAACAGGTGCTGGGAATCTCAACTCAGGCTTCATGCTTGTCTAGCAAGCACTTTACTGATTAAGCCCTTTCCACAACCCCCCACCTTTTTTGACACTGGGTCTTTCCCTTATCTGGAGCTCAGTGGCTAGGCTGGAAAGGCTAGCCCTAAAAGCCCCAGGGATCAGGCTGCCGCCTGCCGCCTGCCGGTGCTGAGAGTACAAACAGGCAAGACCACACCCAGCTGTGTAACATGGGATCCAAAAGTGCTAAAGTGCATGGCAAGCACTCTACCAGCCGAGCCATCCCCGCAGTCTTCAAATTGTTGTTTGCCCTAGAAATATTTTTCGCTACTGTTGTCGATTTGTCCATGCCGATTGTTTTATATATCTCTGGTCTTTTCTAAGGTATGCCCTGGTGGCCATTTTCAGACTGTATTTGCCAAGAGCCTGGAGTAAAAAAAAAAAAGAAGGACTTAATTGAACATTTTGAATTCTTCTTATAGCAGATGGATGAAGGACTGAGCGTCGGCACGGAAAGACTAAGAAGGGATAATGAGAATGATGGTTTTTGCAATAAAGTTCCTGGGGGTCGGGAGGAATGCTGGCAGGCATGTGTTTAAGAGGCCATTCTAAACCCCAGTTGAGGGTACCCTACAAAATAACTCGCGGAGAGCGTGGGAGCCAACACAAGAAACTCAACCAAGAGCTTAGGAGACGTGACAAAAGACGTGAACAAATGTCCTCGAACAGGAAGAAGAAAAAAAAAACATTAGGTAAAAAGAAAACCTGAATAGTGACCTTAACAAATGCTCTGTGCTTACATAAGTGGTTGAAACTGGCTACTAGATGTGAGTGAACTTTTTAAAGTATCTTTTCCAATTTCCTGCAAATCCAAAACGAGTCTAAACATGAGTTTATGAGTTTGGGGAGGGGGTGAGAGTGGGGGCTAAAAGAGCCGTCTTTCCTTACGCTTACATTTTTAAAAAAGAAGCCTAAGGAAGCGAAGAGACATCTAACACAGAGCAGCAATAATCCGGGGATATCCTTGGCTGTCTCCCCCTACTCCTTACAAGAAACTATCTAAATCACACATCCTCCACCATCCGCAAACGCTCTGAGAAGGAAACTCCAGGAAAGCGCTTCCAAAAGCCTCTCCGTGTGGCTCCCAGCCTGGTTCCCAGGGCTAACGGGCGTGCCATCTGCTCGCGGCCCAGGTGGCAACCGGGTTCACGTGTCCGCCGGAGGCGCCGGGTGCTGGGGAGCCGCCCCGGCAGGTCCAGGCCACCGGGCTCCCGCAGGCCGCTGGGGGCAGGGCGGCGGCCGCAGCATCCCGCGCGTGCAGATCGTTTGCCCGGCTCCATCTGCCGCGCGGGGAGCGGCGCGGGTCGGTCTCCCACAACAAAAGGGCGTCCCCGCGGAGAGCCCGCCGGCCCGCGCCGCCCCGCCCCGGCTTCCCGCGTTCGCGCCCGCGTCCCCGCGGGAACCGCTCGCGCGTCACCGCCCGCAGGTACCCGGAAGGGGGAGGGGGCGAGGCGACAACAATCCGGCGGGCGAAGGGGGGGGGGGGAGGAAAGGCGCGGCGGCGAGCGCCAAGACAGAGAGGGGCGGGGCTTCGGGCCGTGCCGCCCCGCCATTGGTCGGCACCGCCCCTCCGTCCGGCGCTCATTGGTCGATGCTCAAATTCGGTCTCAAGGCGCCAGAGGAGGTGTTTTAGCGGGGACCGCGGTCCCGGGCTTGGAGCTGCGCTAAGGCGGGTGGTAAGCGCCTGTCGCTCGGCGGACACCGCGGGCTGGAGCGGAGGACCCGCGAGCCTCGCCCTGCCCTGCCCATGTCACCAGCCCTCCGCTGAGATCTACACGTCCTGCCCGGGCACGCGTGCGGATGCGGGTGTCCCCGGAGACGGGAAGCGTCCATCGCACGGCGGCGGTGAGGAAGCGTGCTGCCTCCGCGGATACGGAGGCGGGAACGGGGGAGAGGGGCTCTCCGCCGCGGCTGCCAGCCCACTGGCCCGGGGTCCGAGGGTCCTAGCGGTCTGTGTCCCGGCTGCAGCGCTCGGTGAAGGAGGCTGTGCCCTCCCCCCACGATTTCAGTGGGTTTCCTGGGAATAGTCTAGCTTGGAGAGTGCTTAGATGCCCAGGGAGGGGCTGCCTGCAACCTTCGGGGGCTGGTGTCGAGATCGGGTTTCAGTCTATCCCCTAGTTCCAACCCACTCCGAGCTGAATTCCTCCCAGTTCTTTGCGCCAAAATTAACTGACCTGGAAGCCCTGAAAGTTTCTTGACGGTTGTCTAGCACCTTCCTTGCTTGGTAACTAACTTGACTGTTGCTTTTTGTAAGGGGATTGCTGGGTCCTTTTGATCAGTTTTTCTTCTTCCCGGATTTTCGGTGGTTTCTAAATATATTTAAAGTGTTTGTCCATGTGAGGATTTAATGAGGACTGGCGAGTGTCTGCATTCCTGGAAATTCACAGGAACGCTCTAGGAAAGGGGAAGTTGATGTTCACAGATGGCATTTTTGTTGTTGGAGGGGGAAATACATGTAAAATTGTTTTCTGATATAATTGTGTGTTCCAGATGGAGGTAAATTGTTTAACACTGAAAGACCTGATCAGCCCCAGGCAGGCCAGACTAGAGTTTGCTGTTGAAGATGCAGAAAATGCACAAAAGGTAAGCACATCAAATACTTTATTTTCTAACACATTCCGGATAGTGATGCCTAGCTTTCATCTGATATATAGCATAGTTATGATGAACGTTATAGAAGAGGTTGTAGAGAATGGAGCCATTGTTTCAGTTCTACTATTAGTCGTTAGTGTTGGAACCAGCTCCTAAAGTCAAAGGTATAAACTGGATGCAGCAATCAGATTAGAGTAGTCGGGGCAGTTAAGCTAATGCTTTGTGGAATGTCCCTAGAAACAGACTTTTGTAGTTATAAATACCGGCTTCATCCTGGTGAGCCATGTACAGGGTTTTTCCAACAGTTACTACCGTCTTGCCTGCCATACAGGGGTCAACGTGACTGACCCTCCCCAGCTATCCTGAATAGTTTACAGCCCTGCTTTGTCTTTTACACTGAGCCAGACTCCTTTTCTGTGGATTTTTCCACACATTACAAACTAAACTGGCCATAGCAATATCTAAACCATCAGCCTGGCCTGTGTCAGCCCAGGTACGCAAATCAGTAGATGTGGATAAGTTTAGCAGTGAAACGTGGGCATTGTTTGAGCAAAAACAAACCAGGTTTAGAAACCTTAAACATAAATCTATAGTTAGCAGCTTCCTTGGGCACTGAACCTCCCGGGGTTCCAGGTGTAAGTCTTAGGTTAACATTGACAATGAGCGAGCCTGGTTGCAAAGAACATGCTTTTATACAACACTTGGCAATTGATATTTTGTTAGAGGGAGCGAAGTATACTATTTATTTAAAGAAGGTATTTTAAAAATTCCCTAGGAGGATGACCTAGGAGTGTGTGTGTGTTTGTGTGTGTGTGTGTAATATATAAAGTCTGTCCAGCCAATGCGCCACTTCTCTTTCTGGTAGATTACTTAGCAGGTACTTTCCCTCCCCTAGTTTGCCTCAGCAAGTGTTGTTGAGGTTTCTCGTGGGGGTGCAGAGAAACTCAACAGATTAGAAGTGGTAAAATGAATACGAAGGGATTTAGCTCAGAGAGGCAAGAGACAAGAATGGTGTGGTTTGGTGGGAATATTGGGGGACTCTTTGTCCTCTGCCCATTGCTGCAGGATAAAGAGCTTTCCTGTGGATGGTGGGAACATAGTGTTCACAGTTACAGAGACCCAGCTTTGATTTCCTGCTCTTCCACTTACCAGCTTCATGACACCGAATAAATATATTTTTAAGGTCTTCCAGCAATTATTTGTATCCCAAAGGCCGGAGATAAGGAGGTTTAATATTGCCTATCCTTTCTTGGTTCATTGGTTACCTCTATAAATCAAAGCCAATCCCTAGCACCTCACCCGTTGGAGTTTTATAAAGTGCCTAGCTTTATGTATTCTTCTTGTTGTACCAAATTAAAATGACAGTCCAATCACAGCTTGCCCTTTGGTTAGCTTAGAGGCTTTCGGAGACCCATATGCAAAAGTAGCCAACTACATTATACTCATAGAATAGAGCAGGAAGAAAGGCATTCAGTAAGCACTGGAAAGCTTCGAGGGGAGGTGAGATTTGGATTAAACCTTACCAAGGAAGGAAAGTCAACCTACACTAAAACAGTTAGCAGAACATTACAGACTTGCGCCTTTGAGCGGCCCAGTATGCTTAGCCATTCCTTCTGAAGATCCCTCCGGGGATTACGTGGAGGGGATCACTGCATCACTTGTCCTTCTAAAGACCCTTTTCTTGATGTACACTTTGGCACAGATCTGGGTGTACTGTATGATGAACACGTGTCTGTGGAGAAACTTGTTTTGAAAAAAGCACTTTTTAACATTATTGACCTATTGCACTGTTCTTAGTTCCGGTGTAATAAACAGACTGACCGATGTACTGACTGATGACAAAAGGAAATGGACAGTTTGGGACCGAAGTGAGGCCTAAGGATGTAGCTATTAAGAGGACATTGTGAAATTGTTGATTCATGCATTGGGCTTAGAGGGGAAGCATGCCAAGGCCCCGCATGCTTCTACTTCTTGGCTGGTTTCCCGCCCACTTGCACATTCCAGGGCCTTAGATACCTGTAATTCAGCACTCTGCAGGCTGAAGCAGGAGAACGTGAGGCTAGAATGACAGATGCATACCACCGTGCCTGGCTTCCATTTGTGTTCTTCAAGGTCAATTGTGTCTTTGGGGAGTAGCTAAGGAAGGCGGTGGATTCAGCTTGGGGTATCCTTGTACCTGTTTGCTGTTCAGACAGATGACTGTGCAAGGGGATGCTAACGGCCTTATTTAGGATTCTTGAAAGTTACAGCCTTGGACCCAGATTTGGAATTTTGACCGTGTATCTGAGATTGGGTGAACCAGTCCAGAGAGGGTGAACAGAGCTGGAAGTCTGGATATGGGCTCTTATAGCTTGTAAGGGTAAAGAAGGGAGCCCAATGAAAGAGATTGAGAAGGTACAGTCAGGAACACAGCTCAAAAAGAATGAGTGCGTTTTTAAGTGTCTCAGGAACCGAAGTCTAGATTTTATAGAGCCAAGAATCACTGCCAACCTTCATCAATGGGGGAAGCAAGATGGCCTTAGCACGAGTTTCATTTGGCGACCAAGAGGTGACCCTAGTCAACACCACGGATCGGAGCAGACTGAATCTCTTGGAAGGTGACAGGAGGAAGGTCTCAGTGCTTATTGCTCTTTCTAGAAAGTGTTCTGGCAGGAAGGAGAATTTTGGACAATAGCCAGGAGGCAGCTCCTAACATGCAGCTGTGGGGTTAGCTCTGCACATGGCATTAGAGAGAAGTTAATGCTCAGAGGAAGAGCTCGGGTGTGATGGAGGGCGGGTTTAAAGAAAGCCAGGGAGTCAATGGGTGAGCTGCGTATGAAGAGGGAACTAAAGATTTATCAGATGCCATCAAGGCTCTTGACAAAGCTGGTGGTCACTTATGTGACTTAAGATTGCATAGTCAAAGCTATATAGAGACATAACCAAGGTCTTTTGGCTTCCAAGCTTTCTCAGTGGCACGGTCCAGTGTATTTCCCCGTAGCCGTAGCACTGGTGCTTATGAATGATGACAATAAGCACTTGCACAGCATTTCACAGACGACAGTGTTTCACTTTATTGTCTGAGCTTATCCAGAGGCTTTATGGCAGATTCCCTCTATATCTGAGAGCTGTGAGACCATTTCACGGCTTGCGTTTCTCTGGGCTCTCTGAAATGATGTACATGCTGCTGCAGGTTAGGTTTTCTAGCAGGCAGATCTCACTTGAGCTTTATGTGCAAGAGACTTCTGAGTGCCCAGGATTGTAGCAACGGAAGGAAGAGAATGGAAAGCAGCAGAATTAGACAGAGAAGGAAACTGAGTTGTGGGTAAGTCATGATGGAATTCTGAGATTACACTACAGGGAAGTCAAGGCAAGCCCTTTGAATATCCCTGAGCCAGTAAGGAGACCAGATGTTTGCAAGCTGGTAGAAGAACTTTTACTAGTCATTGAGTTCAGATTTGGCCTCCCAGGAATGGGTGTGGCCCTGGCCTCACGGGGCCCTCTGTAGCCAAGGCAATCCAGCCAAGGGTGTGTACTGTTGACATTTCTTCCAACAGCTGGGAGAATGACTCATTCATTCCTGAAGAGACCTGATTGCATCCAGAGTCTACCATGTTATGAGTAGGCAGCCTTACTAGAAAGCCTTGACGGTTAGTCTGAATCCCATATTTTGTGTGTGTGTGTGTGTATGTGTGTGTGTGTGTGTAAACATGGTAGAATGAATGACTAGGTCTGTAACTATTCTGATCCCTTCTGCTCTGTTCCACAGTGTCCAGAAGGCAGTGCAGACAGGTGGCACAGCGTATAAATAGATCATAGCTCAGATTCTTGCCCCCACCCCCAGGCCTCTCAATATGACTTGTGTGCCATTTTTAAATTTTGATGGAGAGGTGTGTTTTTTTGTTGTTGTTTGGTTTTTGTTGTTGTTTGTGTTAGTTAGGGTTTCTGTTGCTGCAACAAAACCATGACCAAAAAGCAAGTTGGGGAGGAAAGGGTTTATTTGGCTTACACTGTTCATCATCAAGTCAGGACAGAAACTCAGGCTAGGATCCTGGAAGCAGGAGCTGATGCAGAAGCCACGGAGGGGTGCTGCTTGCTACCCTGCTCCCCATGGTTTCATCAGCCATTCTTCTAGAACCCAGGACCTCCAGCCCAGGGATGTCACCACCCCCATCAATCACTAATTAAGAAAATGCTCAACAGCTCGATCTCATGGAAGCATTTCCTCAAGGTTCCCTCTTTTTCACATAACTAGTTTGTGTGTCAAGGTGACGTAAGACTAGCCAGGTATAATACAGTCCTAACCCAAACACATTACCTAACTTCAGTCCCACTTCTCACATAAGCCATACTGAAAACACCTTTGTGTATGAAGACATTATTCATTCTGAGTTCCTCTCTTTCTACAGAGCGACTTAAGAACTCATTCCTGAGGGGAGGGGGAATAACTCCTTCCTGTGTGGACATGCACCCTGGAAACAGAAGGGAGGGAGAGTAAATGTGTCTACTCAGAAGCCTGAACACACCTTGTGCCTTGAGGGGACCTTTATACAAGATAGAGTTTATTCAACACCTGTAGTGGGCAAGGCATCACACAAATATGACATGTGGAACTGGCTTCATGGACTCATTACAGAGTCCAGACATACATCGGGAAGCTAAGGAGAAAAGCACCATGCTGTGTTATAGTAGGGCTAAGTGCCAGGCAGATGGGAGAGAATGGGGAAGGGGGAGAGATAATAGTTAGGTTTTATTGGGAGTTCACTCTGTCGAGAGGGAAGGAAGAGGGACTGGCCCGAGGTCCTCCATCTCTAACCACTCTGCCATGTTACCTCTACAAGTACTACTGGGTGCCTTTGCTGAAACTTAGAAACAGTATCCTTCTTATTTGCACCCAGAATGAGCTCATTTGAAGGTGTGCCATTTTAGAAAACTGCATTCATCTGCCTTTTGCATGCTCGGATTTTTACACGGGCCGCTGTATACAACCTCGAGCAACTTATTTATTAACCTCTATACCTGGGGTTGTGTAAGTTGACATCTATAAACCAGAATAAACAATAATGGTGCCAAAGAATTAGATGAGGAATTGATACAAGTCCAGGAAGCAGGGTGTGGCATGTATTAACCACTCAGTCATTTCCCTAGAGGGTTCGCTTGTGAACACCATCCGAAAGGCTCACTAGCAGGGACTTGTTAGCAGAACTGAGTCTGGGGATTGTTGCTTGCTGCTGCTGCTAAAGTGTGTGGCCTCACCACTCCTTCCCTGCACATTACAGTACAATAGAGTGTCACAGTAGCTGGCAGCTTCCCCTCACCCGATGAGCAAGAGTTGGTTGGCCTGTAGCTTAGGGTTTTCATTGCTATGAAGAGAGACACCTTGACCACAGCAATTCTTTAAAAGGAAAGCATTTAATTGGGGCTGGCTTACAGTTCAGAGGCTTATCTAGTCCATTATTGTCACGCTGGGAAGCATGGTGGTGCTAGAGAAGTATATAGAGTTCTACATCCGTATCCTCAGGCAGCAGGAAGAGAGAGTGACATTGGGCCTGGCTTGAGCTTCTGACCCTCAAAGCCCACCCGAGTGACACACTTCCTCCAGCAAGGCCACACCCCTAGTAGTGCCCTCCCTATGAGTCTGAAGGCCATCCGTTTTCATTTATACCACCAGAGGCTTCAGACACAAACACCACTTTGTCCCGTCTCCTGCCTTTGTACAGAACAGAACAGGGCTGTCTTAATCTCTGACCAGCAAGAACTGGAGCATACAGTAGCTGTAGGGTGGTAAATACGTGACAAGAAAGGTGTGAGACGTTGAACCCTTTTTCATTATGTGAGTCACTGTTGAAAGGAGAATTCTACTAGAGGAAGGAAACAATCTTTCTGGTTTCGGGTGGTAGAAAACAGTAATGGAAAGTCATTTGCTTCCGTTACTTAGTGGAACCAAGTGCAGGCTCTTTCTGATTTTTGTTTGTTTGTTTGTTTAAGCACGGGCTCCTTTGAACCCTGATAATTGCCTAAGTCAGTATACACGAAGTATGCTGTGGGGCAGGTGCTGCTTCACAGACTGTTTCAAGATTGCAAAAGTTAAAAGCAAACCCTTGGCACTGAGCACTTAAAAGCCTTGCCAGCAATTTGATACCACCTTGCGGACATCTAAGCTTATGGCCTACTGTTGCAGAGGCTGTAGGTTGATTTAGTGACAAACTCAGGTGGTAAATTGTGGTGGAAATTCCACACTAGTCCTATGAGGTAAGGGTCACTTAGCAGTATAGGGGACTCAGGAAATATAAAAGAAAAAGCAAACAAAAAACTGCTCCTTGGCTGTGAACAGTTGGAGAAACACTGCTCAGAAAACAACAGACAGCTCTCAGGTTGGCTTAGGCTGGTATGTTGTTGGCTGCGCGCCCTTTAACTTGTCCTGTTACTGGTTCCTTTTGAACATTGAACTATGAAGGTATAACCTCTCCACTGAGAAATGAAAGCTTCTAAGTGGGTCTTTGAAAAATATGGCCTGATGAAAGAGAAAAAGACTCAATTGGCTTTCTTCATTTCCAACAGTTTCAAGTATCTGTTGTGACAGATGCTTGTAACTTGTGACTTCTCTTACCAACACTTTATGAAAAATATGTACAGGTGGAGTAGCAGACGTAAGGGGGCCCCCTGGAGCCACTGTCCAATGCCCATGAGCTCTCTAGTTTCCATTTCTCCAATCTTGATTCTTTTCAACCTTGACCATGTGCTCTGTTTGGATTTCCAAGTCTCAGTGAAACATACTCTACGCTTGGCTCGCATGTGCCCCTTCTTGGCCTTGCTAAAAGTTCTCTTTGCCTTAAATAGGAAAATATATTTGTTGACCGATCAAGGATGACTCCCAAGACTCCAATGAAAAATGAACCGATTGACCTGTCAAAGCAAAGAATCTTTACTCCAGAAAGAAACCCTATTACTCCAGTAAAGCTGGTTGACAGGCAGCAGCAGGTGGAGCCATGGACACCCACAGCCAACCTGAAGATGCTTATCAGCGCAGCCAGCCCAGACATAAGAGACCGAGAGAAGAAAAAGGAGCTGTTCAGGCCCATTGAGAATAAAGAGGATGTATTTGTGAACTCCCTACAGGTAAGGAGCTGTGCTCACTGGGCTTTGTCAGACTTCAGAGAGTTACATGATAAGATACCTGTCCAGTCGAACACAGTGTTAATTAAACATGGCACATTTCTGTTAACATCTGAATTTTCGCTCACATTCTTATTTTCATAATTAATTTCTTTCCTCTCTTAACCAGACCACATTTTTAAAATAATTTATTGGTAATTTGATCCAATAAAGAAACTTGGGGTTTTTTTTTCTTTTTTTATTTTTAAGCACTGCTATTTTGTTGGTGCTGATTGGTTTTGTGTATATGTTTGTATGTGTGTATATGTATGTATGTGCTGTGTTAATCACTTGCTGTGAAAATACACCATAAATGGTCTTTTTTGGCTGCCAACTCTCTATGGTGACCCTGTTGTACTGTAATGTGCAGGGAAGGGTAGAAGTGATAAAAGAAGGCATTTAACTGGGAGCTTGCTTACAGTTTCAGAGGTTTAGGCACACGTGGCACCATAAAGCCCTACCCCAGTGATACACTCCCCCCCCCCACACCTCCTAATCCTTGTCAAATAGTCCCACTCTCTGACGACTGAGCATTCAAATAGAAGAGCCGCTGTGGGCCATACTTACTCAAACCACCACGGCCCAATGATTCAGCCCAGGCTTTATATTAGTAGGCAAGCCCTCCGCCACCAAGGCACATGCTGTCACTGTAGGTGGCTCTTAGGCCTTCTTTAAAATCCACGCCCCAGGAAGGATAGAGGTGGGGAAACGGTTCAGAGGTTAAGAGCACAGTCTGCTCTTACAGAGGTCATGAGTTCAGTTCCCAGCAACCACATGGGGGCTCACAACCATCTGTAGAGATCTGGTGCCCTCTTCTGGCATGCAATACATACAGACAGAACATTGTATGCATAATTAATAAATCTTTAAAAAAAAGGAGGCGGGGGAGAAGACTAGAGCTGCTCAGTAAACAGCGTATGCATATGGCTCTTTAAAAAACTTAACAGTCACTCATTTTCACTTACTCCAAACTTTTTCTGAGATCTCCCAAGAAAAATGACTTGCAAATTGGAGTCTTTTCAGCTATTTTCCCCCTTTTTGGTAATTTTTTTTTAAGCTGCAAAATTTGCCAAAATACAGAAATTGGGAAAGAAAAAGAGACGTCTCAAATGACAACTTGAAGCTAACAAAGCAAAATGAGACTACTCTACCACACCATTGCAGTGGGAGAGATGCTTCTGTGCAGCTAGATGCAAATCGTGCCGTTTTGAGAGCCATTCCTTTGTACTCCAAGCCAGAAATTGTCCCTAATTCCTCTTGTCTGCCTGGTCTGTTTCGTGGCCTCCTTGCTGTATTTTATTTGGCTTGGAAATCACAGGAGGCCCAGCTTCGGAGACTGCAGGCTCAAATCACGTGTGACTGTGGCTGAGTGCATGAACCTCCATGTCCAGAAGGTGATGGGCGTGGTGCCTGCTCTGGTTTTCCTGGGCTCTGCTTTCTTCCTGTTACAGGCATCCCCCAGTATTAGTTGTTCCTTTTTTTTTTTTTTTTTAATTTATGGATGAAATACAGAAAGTGAAGGTCACCCATGTTAATAATTTCTGTAACAAAGTATTGCTACCTTCCTTTAGTAGAACTACCGGTTTCAGATATCCCTAAAACAGTTACATCTCTGGCTTTCTAACCAGACTTCATAAGAGCTTAACCGATCGCTCTCTATAACGGTTCACAGATCCAAGTGCCTAAAACGTCAGTGGCCATTAATGCTGTTGATAAACTTCTTTAATCACATAGCGCACCCCTAGTACACACTTAGGAGGCTCCCTGAAAGCCCCAAGCACAGAGCAGTATTAGTAATTTACATCAAGTAAGGACTGCTGAATGTACCATTCTCTTGCCTTTTTTAAGTCACTCTATTGTATACGTATGTGCGTTCTTATAGACTTGCTTGGGCTATTCTGTTGGCGTCTACAGCTTTGTAAAACTGAAACTATTAAAGAGTATGTGTTCGTCTTGGGTTTGTGTTTTCTTTTGTGTTTGTTTGTTTGGTTGGTTGATTGGTTGGTTGGTTTTGCTTTGTTTCAAGACAGGGTCTCACTATGTAGCCCTGGCTGTCCCGGAACTATGTAGACCAGGGTGGCCTCCAACTCACAAAGATCTACCTGCCTCTGTCTCCCAAGTACTAGGATTAAAGGCATGCACCACCACACCGGGCAGAGTTTGCTTTTTCAGTCAGCACATTCTCAAGAATCCCTGACGGTTTTTCACTGTTGAGACTCTCCTTTCACTGCTGTGCAGTGACCTGCTGCATGAACACCATGACTACTTATCACTCCTGTCTGTAGCCATTAAGGTGGTTTGCAGTTTGGGGCTGATACAAATATATGGCTTGTTCGTTTCTCCTAGTGTGCATGACTAACATTTTCTAGAGCAGTCGTTCTCAAAATATTGTCTGGGAACCTCTTTGTTCCCAAAGGATCTTTCAGAGGGATTTTTTTTATGTGTGTGTATCTGCTTGTCTTATGTGTATTGCATTCATGCAGTTCCCACAGGGGCCAGAAGAGGGCATCAGATCCACTGCAACTGGAGTTACAGGAGTTACAGCCTGCTCCATGTTGGTTCTGGGAATTGAACCCTGGTCCACTGCAAGTGCTGGGTTTTTGTTTTTGTTTTTTTTTTTTAATGGCTCATATTCTGTTAATAAAACATGTCTATTTTCCAAATGAATTTTTAGATATAACTTTCAATGCATAAAAAATAGGGAAATCAGTGGCAGGTGGAAATAAAGCTTATGGAATTACTCAGTTTAATGTAGTTTGTAGAAATATACAAGGAAAGGATTAGTAAAAATGATTTGAATAGGAAGTAAATGAAAATAAAATTTCAGATTAAAAATATTAAATTAATAAAAATAAACATTGTAATGCATGAATCTTTGCTTTTACAAAACATTGTTTAAAAGAAAACACCATTGAAGTTTAGCCACTGAGTTATCTCTCCAGCCCCAGAATTACTTTCTTGTCCATACTAAGATGTCTGCCAGTTAACCCCCATTCTCTTCTACACTGAGATCTGAGTGATTACAAGGTGCAGACACTGTAGCACATTAAGTACAAAAGTAAGCACAGACTCTAGTTTTCTGTGACACTGTCACTGAAGAGATTTGAATCAGGTATGTGAACCCTGACCTTTCCTCAGCAGCATAGGTGTCGCACTTTATTTTCTACTGTATTCTATATCAATCGAGAAAACTCATGCCGGCCACCACCTTTAATCCCAGCACTCCGGAGGCAGAGGCAGGCGGACCTGTGAGCTCAAGGCTAAGCCCGGTCTACAGAGTTCCAGGAAAGCTAGGGCTACAGAGAAACCCTGTCTCAAGAAAACAACAACATCGAAATACCCCCACACACGAAAGCTCTGAGGGGTCCTCGGTAATTTCCAGGAGCACAAAGTGACCCCATCGCTGGCCGTGCACACACTCACAGGTGTCTGCCGCATTGCTCCCCGGACGCCTGCCTGTTTCCGCTAGGCCTGGGGAACATTGATTGATCCCGGTCGCCTCTGAAACTGTCACTTACTGCTCTGTCAAGTTGCTGGGTGGTGTGTGTCTTTCCATGGCATCCATTTGTTCTTCCCTTGACTGCTCACTCATGAGATTAAATTCTCCATGTGGGTGCTGGCCACCACGGGTTTTCCTCTTCTGTGCGATGCCTAGTTTGTGTGTGTTGATGTGTAGTGGCTTATTTTCCTTCCTCGTGGTGATTCCTAGGAGATGGTTCCTATTCTTGACACTATCATCAATTATTTGTGATACGGAGAGATAAAATTGGATAACTTGGTTAAGCTGGTGTTTTTTCCCTTTCTGTGGGTTCTCGGCTCACAAAGTTCATGAATTTAACGTAGCTCTGTGTTGGGTCCTTTTTAATTTTAAGGTGTTTTTTTCCATTCTAATTTAATTTTTAAATGTACACGCGTGTCTGCTTCTCTTCTTGCACCTTGTGTGTGTGGATGATCATGGAGACCAGAAGAGGAATTACAGGTGGCTCTGGGCCACCATTTGGATTCAGGGTACCAAATCTGGGGCTTCTGCAAAATCAGCCAGTGCTTTTAACTGCTGAGCCCATCTTTTTAGCCCCTAAAACCTGTCTTCTAAGGAGGGCCTTTCCTGCCTGGAGAGATGCTTCAGTGGTTAAGAGCACTTGTTCCCAGCATCCACATGGTGGCTCACAACCCTCTAAAACTCCATTCCAGAGAGATACAGTGCCCTCTTCTGGCCTCCATAGGCAACGCACACATACACATATGAAAATCAGTAAATAAATATGGACGATCTCTTTAATCTTTCTCTAGCCCAGTGTTAGAAACGTAGTCTCTTAAATTTTCTTTATTATAATTTGCCTTCTATTAGTCTAGTGTCCGTTTGGAATTGCTTTTTATGTGTAACATGAGTCAAAACTTTTTGTTTCTGTATGTTCAGTTGTCTGTACATTTTTCAGGCGCTCTCTCTGTTTCAGTTGGCAATGTGACGTCTGTTCTATGTCAGAGTTATATGTGTGAGCTTCAGTTTTCAAGGGCATTTTCTTGCTGGGGCGATGGCTCAGTGGTTAAGAGCACTGGCCCCTCTTCCAGAGGTCCCGAGTTCAATTCCCAGCAACCACATGGTGGCTCAGAACCATTTATGATGAGCTCTAGTATCATCTTCTGGTGTGCAGGGTACATGCAGACATGTATACATAATAAACAAATCTTTAAAAAAAGAATTTCTTTTCCTCTAGCCCATTTGTCTGTTCAAGTCCAGCACCATTTTGCAGTAAGCTTTGCCAGTAGTTAAAACACAACCTTCACTGTATTCTTAAAATGTGTTAACTGTTTTCTGGCTCTTTCTTCCATATATGCTTCAGATTGGTTGTTTTCTTTTGCCTTTTCAGACTGTGTAGACCTGGCCCACCTGGGATTCTATGTAGACAGGGCTTGAACTCATGTATATCTGCCTGCCTATGCCTCCTGAGTGCTAGGGTTAAAGGTGTATGCTGCCGTGCCTGGCTCTAGACTGAGGTTTTGGGTTTTTGGTTTGTTTTGTTTTGTTTTGTTTTTTTAAGACAGCGTTTCTCTATGTAGCCTTGGCTGTCCTGGACTAGATGTATAGACCAGGATGGCCTCAAACTCCACCTGCCCCTGCCTCCCCAAGTGCTGGGATTACAGGCGTGCACCTGGCCCAGCTCTAGATTGGGTTTTAATAGCAATCACTTGACTGTATTGACTGGAGAAGTATTAACCTCTCTGGTGCCAAGCCTCCTACCCTATCCATGAAAATGGTACATGTCTCCAACTCTAAGTACTCTCTAACACAGTGGCTCTCAACCACCCTAAACGCTGTGACCGTTTAATACAGTTACTCATGTTGTAATGACCCCCAGCCTACTTCATAACTGTAATTTTGCTAAAGATGTGAGGGTCACAACCCACAGGTTAGGAGCTGCTGCTCTAAGATCTTGGATATTAGCTAGATTTACTCCTAAAAAGCTTATCATTCTTGTTGCTGTTACAAATAGTATCTTTGGAAATTATTTTCTCTTGCTACACAGGACTGCAGTTTGGAGTTTCCTCTTCCCCCTCCCCACACCTTGGTTTTTTGAAACAGTGTTTCTCTGTATACAGCCCTGGCATCCTGGAACTCACTCTGTAGACCAGTCTGGCCTAGAACTCAGAAATTCGCCTGCTTCTGCCCTCCAAGTGCTGGGATTAAGGGCATGTAGTTTGGATTTAAAACACATCTTCTTGTAGTCAACTATCTTGCTAATTCCTTTTATTTTTGTAATTTTTCAGATACATATATATTATATATCCTTTTCAAAGTGGAAAGGTTTTGTGTGTGCTTTTCAGTCCTTGGCCTCAGTTTCTTCTTAGTGTCCTAATGTACTCACCAGGAATTCCCGCATGACACAGAAGAGGCCCACAACTTTGGGCATGCTTGTTGTTTTCATGGTTTTAGGGGAATACTTCCAAGGTTTCTCAGCCAGCCAGATAGTAGCTTTTGCATTGCCATGAACGAGCAACATGAAGATCATCAAGAGCCTTTTCTGCATCCATTGAGATAATCTTAGCACTGTCCTGCTTGGGTCTGTTTATTGAAAAGCCTTTGACTTTCAGTGGAGACCTGTTTTAAGTGTGGGTAGAGACAAGAATGCTGTTTGAATATAATTAGAACAAAAAAGAATCTGATTTACTGGCCTTTAGGGAGTGTCATCAAGATTTGGTTGAACTTAAAAAATATGACAGTTCAGCGGGTCACTGTATCTCAGGCTTTGTCACTAGCGGTCACCCAGAGTCATGAAAAGCAGATTCTAATGCACTGGGTCCAAAATGAGGCCTGAGATGCTCCATCTCCAGCAAGTGGCTGCTGTGTCTGCTCCCAGGTTCACCCACATAAGAGGCAAGGGTGGAGCAACTGGTCAGGACATCTTCTCTTTTAAACTTGTATCCTAGCCTCATGTAAAAATGAGAAACAGTTTAGCCCAGAGAAGTCAATAGAAGAACATTAGAGAAATAGAGTAGTTGTTTTCAATGGAGTCTCAAATGGCGTCCACATTCGAGACCCATTGGGATCACTTTACCAATGGCTTACCTACTGGCACCAGCAATGAAGGCAGTAACTGTGGCATCTCTCCCCTCCCTTCTGTCTGCCCTCTGTAGCTTGAAGTTGTTGGTAACAGTGCTGTGGACGACTACGAAAAGCAAAGGCCAAGCAGGAAACAGAAAAGTTTAGGGCTGCTGTGCCAGAAGTTTCTGGCTCGCTATCCAAGTTATCCCTTGTCAACTGAGAAAACCACCATTTCCCTAGATGAAGTCGCCGTCAGTCTTGGTATGTATCATCCGATTCACCGACCGCCTGCTGTCTGTGGCAGTGGGGAGCTGGTTAGCCTGGGCAGGCCCAGAGGCTTCAAGTAGCCTCCTTTATTCATAGAGGGCCCTTGTAAGGGGGGGGGGGGACAGGAGAGTGGGCAGAGCTGCCTCCATCACCATCAAATCTCCCTTCATTGTTTATAGAACTCAAGGAAGCCTAGACCTAAAGGGCCAAGCAGAAACTCTGGGTTTTTAACCTTAAAAATGTGGGGATTGGAACTGTGTCTCAGTGATAGAGAATTTGCTTAGCATGTACAAAGTGGATTTAACCGCTACATCATACAGAGAAGAAAATGTGTTTAATTGTACAGAGTAATATTTTTATGCTTACACTACAGATTAAACTCATTTTAAATCCTTATTTCAGGATATAAAAATACAAGCTGGGTATGATGGCAGAGACCTATAATCCCAGTGCTTGTGAGTCAGAGGTAGGAGGACAGTAAATTTGGGGCCAGCCTCAGGTACACAGTGAGACTCTTATCTCATAAAGAAAATTTCAGATACCTTGCTCTTTATTTTTAATAATGCTTCGAAGAGTTTGGAACTAGTGTTATTATATGTATTAGTGTATAAAGCAAAAACCTAAGAGCAAGAACATGACGCTTGAAGGCCTGCGCCATGACCTTCACAGCAAGCCTGTCAGGATAGATAGAAAATGCACAGCTGGACATAACTGAGATAGCTAAGCCTCTCTAACACAGGAAAATGCATATGATCATGTGGCAGGAGCGCGTGTAGCGTATAACGCCCGCACAGCTGTAAATATGTGTGCAGTTGCTTTGGAAGAGAGTCCCCCAGTGGACCCGGGCTGCATTTGGTTTCAGGAGGACTGAGCTGTTGACAGTCATTAAATAGAAATCACGCTAATTTAGAGGTATAGGGGTATCCACTTAAGGAAGCTATACCTATGGGGGAGCATTTGGATAAACTAAATGAATGGTTAATAGTTTGTGTGTCATAGCTATCTGTCTTCCGTAGCCCGGAGAAACATGCCCGAATAGTGGGCTGTAAGCCTGGGTTATTTGAGCTAAAAGCTGAGAAGATAATTCCGGCTGTTGGAAAATGAGACTGTAGGTTCTGGTGGGCTAGGCTTTGGGGCAGATAGGGCCTGGCTCTGAACTTCCCAGCTTATGAGAACTTTAAGAAGTTACTAACCTCTCACGTCTGTAACATAAACTTGCAGAGACATCACAAACTCAGTCCTGGCAGCAGTCTTGGAAACCAGTCTTGCAGAAAACAAGGAATATATAAGGGTCCCTAAAGTCTTCCCCGGCCCTGCACGCCCGCCTGCCATGCATTCAACTTCTCTGTAGAGGTTTTGCACTGGTTTTAGTGCTGAACACAAAGATGAGACATTTGAGGTGAAATTTACGGACCCGAGGAGGATGGAAGAGGGGACCCTTATTTATCTGACCTATAGATCACACCATGTTACAGCTGCCTGGAACCAAACTCCAAAGATTTTCCGCAACAGCTTCCCAAGCCCCATGAGGACACAGACTGCTAAGTAAAACGAGCCACCATCTCTTCTCATGTGAGATGGAAAACTAGTGTCTCTCCCCAGGAGCTATTTTCCTCAGTGATCATCTCTTGGCCTGAAGAGCCTGAAGCCCTTGCTCCCTCCTAACTTACAAGACCACCATTTACCTAAAGATGTTTCCGGAGCCTGCCACAACATAGGTTTGACTCTGGTGTTAATGCATTTAAAGGCTTAGAAATAACTTCAGCAAATAGAAAACAGCCGTTGGTTCTTATACTGGGCTAAGTAATGTTCTCGCTCAGTTCCCAGGGAAGTACACTAAGGAAAATATAGTAGTATTCATTAAGTCCTTGTATGTGCAACTAGGACCATGATTAGAATTAATAAGGCCACCTCAATACAAAAGCAAAAGAAGGCAGATTGCCAGGGAAAACCTTCTTCACAGCAAGCCACAGAGTAGCCTGAAAGGCTTGAGACCTGCGAATGGAACTTTAGCTGCACAGCCCCATAAACAGCAAAAACTCAGGCAGGACTGAGACGATGGGCATGATCGAAATGATGCGTGATTAAGCTGGCAAGGCCTGCCACATTTGGTATTTACCAAAACAACTTACGAAGTGTCTGTTTGCACATTTTTACCTTATTCTCGGAGCAGGCAGAATGTTCTCTCCTTTTCTCTTCTTGGGACTCCTGGCCACTAGGTGGAGACTGAACAGCTTATTATCAAGCACATAATAACTACAGCCAGGCATATGGCCGACCCCAGGGTGTCTCAGTTGCATTCACTTGACATTTCTAATGGGGAGGTTTATGGGATGATACAGGATAAACATAATGTCTATTACGTGGAGACAGGCTGGAGCAAAGAACCAGACAGCTCTGGACGAGAGGCTCGTGCCAGTACCTTCCAGCAGGGCAGCTGGTACTGAGCCTGGGGCGAGGAGCAAGCTGGCCAGGGCCACGAATGGAAATGTTCTGGTTGACCGTGAAATGTCTCTCCTGTGTGTGGTAAAGCGCCTCTTCAGTCCAGAGTTGTCCTTGTTATTTGGTGTCTGTCTCACATTCTGTCTTTGAAGGGCCCAAAGCTATCTTCACTGAGTCGGTTTCTGGTAAACGACAAAACAGAGCATCTTTATAGCCAGTTTGGTTTTACTACAAAGTGTCTGGAGGCTTTAGTGTGGATACTTAGAAGAGAGCAAAGGGTAGAGCCGGCCTGGGGCCTGTTACATAGGGTGATGAGTCATGAGCCAGACACGTCTAAAATCTGTTTCTGTGCCTCTTTACGACAGTGGGGGCTTTAGGTAACATAGGTAATCAAAATCGAGTACTGTATAGATAAAATTAACGTCTGTTGAGGGCCCTTCTCATTAATGGTCAGATCTGTACCACACTATGAAAAGCTTGAGTACCTTCCTAGGGTGGGCCGCTTGTGGGGATAGACTGAGGGTTCAATTCGTGTCCAGGCAGGCTGATTCGAGAGCATTCCATTCTTAACCAGCACACATGTTTTCGGTAATTAGAAGGAAAATCCTACCTAGGGGAGTGTAGGAAAAGGAGTGGTGAACTTCATGGTTGGCCTGCACATTGGTGAATGATGAATGAGAGGGCAAGGAGAGTAACTGCAAACCATGGCAAACAGAAGACTTGCGGTCCTCCAGCAACACGAGGAAGAAAACCAAACTCTCAAATCTGGGATTTCCGATTCAAAACGGAAGGCAATATTTATCATCCATTTTTCCTTACCTGACTGGTCAGAGCTAGTATATTAATTATTTGTTTCATCATTCAAACTCCCAAGAAAGGACAGTCCAGTCCGGTGGTGAGATAGTTGTTCACAGAGCTGACTTTATAGCTCTGTGACGGTTAGTCCTTGCTGTCGGTGTGACAGGATTTAGGATCATTACAGGAACACAGCTCTGTGCGAGCCTATGAGGTTATCTCCAGAAAATGTTAACTGAGCAGGAAAGATCCACCCAGAATGTGGCAGCACAGTCCTATGGGGTGTGATCCCCAACTGACTAAATTGAGAAAGCCGGCTTTGTCTCTGCTTTCTGACTAAGTGTGGTAGCTGCCTCCTGTCCCACCACCGTGACGGATTGTCTCAAACCATGAGTCAGAGGAAACCATTACATTGCTTTTGTCAAATATCACCTCAATGAGACAAGTAACTAACATTCGTCCCCCAATTAGGAATACAGGTCACTCCCAGCCAGCTACCGTATCCAGGAGGCATGCTGTTAGTCATGCCGGCATTCCACCATAATGCACGTGTGAATTGCTTAACAGGTCTAAAGAACAGGTGCTGTGCTTTCACTGCCACACAGACGGTAGCCCGGCCAGCTCAAGAGTATGTTTGTGTTTGAAGGTTGGATCCCAAGAGGGAAAAACAGGGTCTGTTTGAGTCTTCCTCAGGTGGCCTTATTGATCATCCACAGTTGCTGGGCATTAGCTTGGATGTCAGGCCCATAGTTCACAGACTCATGTCAGGCCCTCCAGGAGCTGATGCTCAGAAATGTTTATTTGCGTGACACCTTTTGGCTTCTTCTCTGCAAACAGGTGTGGAAAGGAGGCGCATTTACGACATCGTAAATGTGCTGGAGTCCCTGCATCTGGTCAGCCGGGTGGCTAAGAATCAGTATGGCTGGCATGGTCGGCACAGCCTGCCCAAAACCCTGAGGACACTACAGCGGCTGGGAGAGGAACAGAAATACGAAGAGCAGATGGCCTGCCTCCAGCAGAAGGAATTGGACTTGGTGGAGTATAGGCTTGGAGAACGAAGGAAAGATGGGTCTCCAGATCCCCAGGATCAACACCTACTTGATTTTTCTGAGTCTGACTACCCCTCTTGTGAGTCTGTTATAAACCTGTGAATAATGGCAAAGGGAGAGGTGGTCTTCTCTAAAGAAGCTGACCGCTAAGATGTGAAGTGGGAAATGCCAGTGTGAAAGCCCGAGGGGAAGATGCTCTGTTACTGTGTCAGCTGTAGAAAAAGGGCTCCCCACTGGGCTGCCCACTCCACCTCACCTCACCTCATTAGAAGGTGTGTGCCTTAGAGGCTGCTTGCTCAACGGCAAACTGTGATAGCTGCATGCTGCTTGCCGCTGAGACTTCACACTGAAGACATTATCTTCTCAAAGCGTTTCATTCAGTTACTTGTTAGAGTACATTACTAAGGAGAGCAGCCCCAATAGCTGAATTCATTAAGAAAGATAGACAATCCCTGCTTCCCTTGGGTGCCATTTAATTGTTTTTTCTCCTCCTTCTCCTCCTCCTCCTCCTTCTTCTTCTTAATTTCATATCTTGTTCTTCCTTTACCCCAACTTATGTCTCTTCTCACTGTAAACACTGATACCCATCAGTCCCACGTCCTCCCATATAGGCATCACTGACTCATTACCTTGCGATATTGGACACTGAAGGAGGGGTATGTTGACCCCTGGGCTTCCCTCACATGCGCACACATACCTTCCACAGCAGCGTGTACACAATACACATGAACATACATACACCCACAAGCGGAATTCTTGCTTTTGAGAGAACAGTCAGTTTTCAGAGAACCTCCTGATCCCTACCCGTCTCCTTTTATCTGTCTGCATTAATCTTTTCAAAAAGTCACGTAAAGAATACGGCCATGCGGCTTCTATTACGTATGAAGTGTTAAGAGCGGCTGAAAAGCCACATCTCGCAGTTTGCGCCTAGTACAGTCATTTCACAAGATGCAGGGAAATCCTTCCGATTTCTTTACGGGTTTATTTTGGGGATGTGCGTCCAGCGGGCTTCTGCCTATTGTCAGATGGTCCTTCCATATGCTGGGGAGTGAGATAGCTCTACAAAACTGGTAGCAAAGTCTTTCTTGTGGTAAACCCACGTTTTGATGGGGTTCCCCCCCCTTTTTTTTTAGCGTCTGCAAACAGTCGAAAAGATAAATCTCTAAGAATTATGAGCCAAAAGTTTGTCATGCTGTTCCTTGTCTCCAAAACCAAGATCGTTACCCTGGATGTGGCCGCCAAAATCCTCATAGAAGAAAGCCAAGACACCCCAGACCACAGTAAATTCAAAAGTAAGAGCTTTTACCTAATCCGTGTAACAGCCCAAAAGGAGAAGATTGCAGGTGCTGTGTTCTGCCTCTGAGATAAATAGATCCAGAGGGGGTTTTTAGTGATGGTGGTGGTTTTGGAGAAATGTATTCCTGTGCTTCTAAAAGCACTCTGAGGTCAGTCTCCTAACAGAACCACCACCAAACCCAAGTCAAAAGCCTTTCCTCCAGTTACTGTGGACGCAGGGTAAGGCAGAGTGCACCCTGAGAGCCCAGGCCAGGGAGGGTGTGACCACTTTGCTTTTCTCTTTGGTGATGCTACATCCAAGACAGAATGTCTGAGTCTTCTTTCCCCTTTTTTCCCCATACCCCGCCTACTTCTCTGAAGGGTGGAGATGAAAGTTGTCTTCAGGTAAGCGCTAGAGGAATGGCCAGGGTTGGGGTTGGGAGGGACAGGGCTGCTCAGCAGGGAAAGAGTCTCTGGGTGTCCCACCATGCACCTTCCTTATCTTTAGAGCTTTGCTGCAAGGCCCGTGCCCTGGTGAGGAGCCATGAGCTCGTCGTTCTCATTGACTTTTGTTTTTTCCTGCAATAACAGCCACCCTGTGGGTGAGATGGTTAAGAGAAATTCCAGCCCTGGCAGTGGCCCTGACATTAAGTGATGTCTGACCTTTATTCAGTTTTTTAGTAGAAAAGCAGGCACACCATCTTGTCCTGTGTTTATCTGTTGTTTGTTTGTAACACGGCTTCAGAGTTCCCCACTTTCATACATGCATTTTCCAAAGGTTTCCCTAAAGTGCTTTCAGATGCAGGCCATGGCCCTCACGCCTCTTCCCCTTGGCCAGGGTTTCAGGTGAGCAGCTGCTGTTTTTCACCACTGTGCCCTATGACCTTGAATCTTGGGTGTCCTGTGTACCCAGGAGTTCCCTGGCATTTTCACAGGCCAGCTGTCTGTGAGGCAGACGCCACACCCTCTTGCTAGGGAACACTCAGGGCAAGCTTTTTGCTGGCCACATAACCAGAATTGTATTCACTAAGCCTTTAATCACGGCCTGTTTCCCCCATATTTTGCTATTGTGAACCCCCTCCTTGCGAGCAGAGGATTCTTGAGACTTGCAGATGTGGGGGAGGAAGAATGCACTGTCCTCTCCCTATCTTTCGTGTGTCTAAAGACACTTTGGGTACATAGATCCTGAGTGATACAATGATAAAGCCACCAATCTCATACCCACCTGTCCTCTGGAAGTTTATGTGGTGGCCAAGGAATCTTCCCTGTCACATAAACTAAAATGTAACAGCATTACACATGGCGTGACCATAGCTGTGTTTTATATCTTCAAGCAAAGGTACGACGGCTCTACGACATAGCCAATGTTCTGACCAGCTTGGCTCTGATAAAGAAAGTGCACGTTACGGAAGAGCGAGGCCGCAAACCAGCCTTCAAGTGGATCGGGCCCGTGGACTTCAGCTCCATTGGTAAGGAGATGCGATTGTTGTAAGGGCCTGCTGGAAAATTCCTTTTCCTAATTATATATCTTGACAGCAAAGTTGACCTTTTCCCATTCTCCGTGTCACATCAAACATTAGACTAATGACCTCACTCTTGAAACAATATTTACTATCCAGAAAATGTAGGTGCTGGTTGCCTCATACACATCAAACAAGGAAAATGCTAGACACTTACACTGTGGGTTTCTGTAATGGTTAAAGTATGCCTGTTTATAAATTTTTATTTTGTTCTGGGACTTTTTCCTGGAAGTTTCAGACTAAAAATTTAGAGTGACATACTGAATGTGGGATATTTCCAGATAAGCAAAATAAACCATTGTTTTTCAGGGAAGTCCCATATAATGTTAAAAAACTACAATCAGTTACTCACAAAGCTGGGGTGACATACGGTAGTTTCTAGATCTAGTGGGGACAAGCTAAATGCGTCTTAGGTGATTTAGTTAAAATGTTAAACAGTCCATGATTTTGCTAAACCATGCTCAGAGGTGCTTATTTCTCAGTTAACATCTGCGCAGCCTGGGAGTTGGGTCTTCTGTGAAAGATACTTTACATGTAGCCATGATGCCTGGGTACAAGCCATTAAGATTATCTCTAAATTACCCTTTTAGTGTTGTGCAGTTGTTTAAGCTGTGTTCAGGCCAGTCCCTGCCTATGCAAAATAAAAGAGTTCATCATTTTTCTGCCTCTGTGCCTTTGGCTTCTCTTCACCTGTGAAGCCTTCTCCTTTGGGCATTAAAAATGGTCATGAGTTCCTTAATGGCGGGCGTGCATTCCATGATGTATGCCAGTAAGCATGCTGGTCATTATGTGGATGTGACAATCTGTCTACACAAAAACAACCAAAGGTCACTAGACAACAGAATTGTCTAGGAGCGATGATGTGTAAACCCTGTAGCTGACCCAAGCATCCTTCTGAGGCGTATGAATATGTTGACTCATCCTTCGATATCTGGCTCAAATACCAACCCCTTAATGTTTCCCTGGTCTGGAGTAAAGAGCATCTCCTGTGGACAGCTGCAGTCTGGAAATTGGGATTGCGGGATTACCGTTGCCCTACACAGCCAAGGGCAGGTCCATCTTTTGTGTTACCCACTGCAGTTGGATAATGAGCTCTGAAAAGGCATAGAATTAGCACCAGTCTGGAAGTGAGAAAGGTGTCAAGTTCTAGGCAGGGTGGTACTGGCTCTGTGGGAATTCAGATCATACAAATTAAGATCTGGTATATTCAATTTTGGGAAATTTGGAAACTAGCATTTTTAGGAATAAATCTGGTCCACATTGGGGGGATTAGCTATCCTTACTTAAGACGAGAGCACAGGATAGAAAACGTACAATATAGTGAGCTGGGAACACACTTTTGGGAATATCTAACATTCAGCCAAGAAATTCATACTGGCTGTAACAGAAGCAACAAGGAGTCCCTGAGCATAAAGATTATAGAGAAGAAAGACTCCAGTGTGGTCATGCCGTTGAGCAGAGATAGGATCAGCAGAGACATGAGCTTCTGTTGAGATGCCAAAGAATTCAAATTCCTGCACAGCTTGTGAGATGACAGTTGCTGGAACTCAGTTCTGGTGCAGGAAGGATGGCTTAGAATCAGGTGAGGAATTGCAAATTTTATTCTCTACCCTTCAGCAGTCTATATTATTTCTTCTATATGCTCCACATTTAGAAAATCCTTTATTTCCTCTTCATCCTTTTAGGGTTCTCACATTTCGTCTTCATAACCATCTCCCCCTTTTTTTTCTCACTGGCAGTGCAGTTTTATTGAATGTGGGTGTTTTTAATTTTATTGGAGTATCACTGGGATGCAATAAATAGCACAGACTTGCAATTTGGTAAGTTTTGTACACTTAACTTGGTTAAATAGTGAAACTAAATTACTCCCAAGTGTCCCACCCTTCATTTCCTCCCTGCTGGCCCATCCCTAGATGCTCTTCTGCAGTTCAAGGTCTGTGTGTATGTTCTAGAATCGTAAGTGAATTATATCAGGCTGCCCTTCACTATTCATTTATTCCATATAAATCCACCTGGCCACTAAAATTTATCCCTTGAAAATGAGTGCTCAGGACATTTTTAGTCATTTGCACAGCATGCAAAACAGCAACAAAAGGGGGGGCAAAAAACTGTTTTCCCAGTGGTCTCATTCCTAGAGGTAGTTGTATAAGGCTTCTTGCTTCACTTTCACAGTCTCTAGTGTCATGTGTTTACATGCCTGTACTTCTGTTAGTGACTCCGACGCATAAAATGGGTCCCTAGAGTGACATCAGCAAGATGGCCGACTATAGACAACACCTGCTGTGCTTCCTCCCTCAACAAAGAATCAAAACAGGCAAAAGCAGAGCAGCCACCTCCCTGGAGTGCAGTGGGGTCAGGAGTGCAGTGGAGTGCAGAGAGAGATCACAGTAGACTTGTAAAGGTGGAGTCAAGCCTCCCGGCACCTGCTGCCAGTCTCCGGATCAACCTTCAATCGAGGGCGGTGGTTTTCAACCTTCCTAGTGCTGTGACCCTTTAATACAATTCCTCATGTTGTCTCGACACCCAGCCATAAAGTTATTTTCATTACTACTTAAGACTGTAATTTTGCCACTGTTACAAATCGTAATGTAGCTATCTATATGCAGGTAACTTCATTGTTACGAATTGTCCCAAAGGGGTCGCAACACACAAGTTGAGAACTTTTGACTGGTCAGAGAGGAATGAGCAGGGGGACGTGCAGTCTCCACACCGCGTACAGCTGAAATGTGTTAGAAAAGCCCTCACAGGTCCTGGGAAAGAGCCCAGCCATCTTGAAATTCAACTCATGAAGCCAGGATACTGTTCTTGGACAGCTCAGCTTTGTGAACCAGCCTGGTAGCCGCCCTCATCCCAGGAAGTACCTGGGCAACCTACCCAGAATAGCTCAGTGAGTAGAGGTCCCTTTGAAACAGGTAGCTCTCCCTAACTTCGTATTGCCCCAGAACCACCTGAACATCCACGTCAGCCCACCGTAGCTACAGGAAGCATCCCACCGTCTCATGCCTCAGTGTCTCAGGTCCTCAGTGTCCCAGTCCCAGTAAATCTCGGGAAGCTTGACTTGTAGGGGACCCCCAGGAAAGAGTGGCCCACTCCTCCATAACCTTAAAAGTAGCCATCCACCCCCTCCTAAGTTGGTCTAAACCATGAGACTTCTAGAACACAGTTCTGTGGCCATGCTCATTTTCGAACAAAAACTCTGCCCTCACTTTCCTCCCAAGGAAGCTCTAAGAAGCAGATTGGACCCCACCTACCTGTTTTCCAGCCAGGAAACAGCTAGACAGCTAGTCCTGTGCACGCTGACTTCCAGAGGGCCTATGACTTCAGCCATGCAGCCTTCAGATCTTCTCAGGAGCACTGGTGAGCTCCAGCCATTTGCAGTGCTCAAACACTAGCAGGGACCTCGCTTGTGAGCATGCTCCTCTGTACTCACCTGGACTCGATGACAACAGGACAGGTGGACACCCCATCTGGATTACACTGCAGAGCTGCCAGCAAGCATGCTTTCCCTGAGAGAGCCGCCAACTGGCAGTGTGTTCTCACATGCTCTGCAGCACGAACCTCTGAGACACTCACATATGTTGCAGATGTTGAGCACAACTGAAGAAGTTGCATGACTAAAACATCTGCCTGGAGCCTAAGCGAAACAGTCTGTCCATATACTGCCATTGGACAAAATGCCAGGAGGAAGCCTTGCTGCAGGGGCCACCCTCTAAAACCGGTAGTCGGCGGTGCTGCCAGCTGGACAGGCATCCAAGGGAACATACATGAGACGTTTTAAAAATGTAGTGGAACTACATCGTAAACCCAGCAATGGACTCCAAAGAAAAGGAACTTAATTGCCTGACGAAATTTGAAAGTATAATTCCCAGAAATTTAATTAGCTATGAAAGTATAAGGATGATTCATTGGAATTAGGAAACTAGATTATTATGTAGATAAGAAACTTAGCAAGGAGTTGGAGATCAAGGAAACAAACCAGAAAGAAATCAATGGTTACATACATTTTTTTTAAATCCTAAAAGGGGTGAAAAAAGTTAACTGAGAATATTATTCCCAAGAACGGAAAGCTTGAGAAATGAGGCCAAAATCTTTTCTAAGACAAAGCAAAAACTGATTAACTTCATCCCCCACTGGACAGACTTACAGACTTGTAAGAAAATCCCCAGGCTAGTGAGATGACTCAGCAGGAAAAGGCACTTGCTGCTAAGCCTGACATTTTGTGTCTGAACCCCAGAATGCAAAGAACCCAAAACTAGAAAAAGTAAACTAACTCCCATCTGACATCCACATGTATTCTGAGCTCACAAGCGCGCGCGTGCACACACACACACACACACACAGACACACACACACACACACTCACACACACTCTATTGTAAAATATGTTTACATTGCTAAAGTGATCTTAACACTAGAAGCTAAAGGATAACTGTATCATAAGAACATAAAACATGCTGGCAGAGCAGTTTCACAAAAGAGAAAGAATCAAACCTTAGTAATGCAGAAAACCAAATCTTAGAGAGGGAGATGCTCAGAACAACCAGAAAATAACGAGGGGAATGCTAAAAGTCTTACCAGTGACAACAGTGGAGCCCACAGATTACATCTACCCCGTTAAAAGATAAGGGCTGCTGAAGGATCCACTGCTATAGTGATAAGCTGTCCACGTAACAAAGCAAAGGAGTATGGGAATACATCGTGCAGATGGAGGCCGAAATGGGGAATAGCTGTATTTACATCAGATAAAACAAACTTTGTCTCACAAGTGATGAAAAGAAGCAGTAGATATTCAACCATAAAAGGATTGATTCAACAAGAAATTTAAATGGTGTTTATGTATGCACCCATTCCTGAAGCACCTGGGGAACTGAAGCTATCATCACTAGAGTTCAAAGGAAAAATAGGCTGTGATACACTAGTAATGGTGGCTGGCTTTAAACCTACCGTCTGAGAGGCAGAAACAGCTGGTCTCAGTAGCTGATCTCAGCTACTATGGTCTACAAAGTGGGTTTCAGACAGAGCTATGTTGAGGGACTGATATCAGCCATGGTGTATCATCCAGATTTTAAATATCAACAAAGAAACATCCAAACAAAACTATACTGTTAGATAGAGTACATGGACCAGCAGACACTTCTAGAACATTCCAAACAGCTGCACAGTACACATCCTCATCAACACGGGACCCTCTCTAACGTCATGTACCAGGCCCAAAATACATCTCAACAATTTGAATGAATATAGTATCTCTGCAAAGGAATAAAACTAGAAGTCAACAAAAGGACTGAATATAGTATCTCTGCAAAGGAATAAAACTAGAAGTCAACAAAGGGACTTTGTATATAGTGCAAAAACATCAAAATTAAAAAATACTCTCGTGAGCATTCAGTCAATGGAAAGATCAAAGGGGATGTTTAAATTTTTAAAAATGGAAATTAAGTACTGCATGAAAACGAATTGGATAGAGTGGAAGAAGGAAGTTTGTAGCAATCAGCCATCTACATTCAACAAAAACAGTTTCACATAAACGATTCAAGGGAAAGGAGAGAGCTGAACAGTAGTGGAAAGAAATTTTAGCTGTCATCTTAAATCTTTCACCATTTTTGCTCAGCATAGTATTGGAAGCCATAAGATCATCAGAACAAAGACATAAGTAGGAAAAGAATAAGTAGTCAAATAATCAGTTTACAAATAGCATGGCTTCAGGAGAAAAACCTAGACAACACACAAAACCCATTAGAAGTGACGAGTGGATTCAGACAGACCGTAGCATATAGACTAACATACAAAAATTTGTTGTGTTTGCATACACTAAAGAGAAAGGAAAAAAGCAATCCTATTCACCACAGATAAAATTTCTATAAGCAAATTTAACAAAAGGATTGATGTATCTATAACAGAAACTGCAAGTGTGGAACAGGGGATTAAACACAACTTCTCAAAAATTTGAAGAACTGGGTGTGCCTTTAATCCCAGCACTTGGGAGGCAGAGACTGGTGGATCTCTGAGTTCTGAGCCAGTCTGGACTACATGCTGAATTCCAGGACAACCAGGATTACACAGAAACCAAGAACAAAATGGGGGGAAAAATGTAAAATCACAGAAGACTCCAAAGACGAGAACAATTCTGAGGCAAAACCAGCAAACCAGAAGCACTACAGTACTCGACTCCAGAACATACTAGAGTGTGGCATCCAAACAGAATGCTAATGCGTGATTTCAGATATACTACAGAGGATAGCACCCAGGCAGAGTGTTGCTGGCAATGATGCAAACACAAAGACCAGCCAAGCAGAACAGCAAACCAAGAAGTAAGTCCTGTATACAGCCAGCTAACTTCTGACAAAGGCACCGAGAGCACACACTGAAGAAAGTCTCTTCAATAAATGGTGCTAAGAAAATGATGACATTTTCATAAGAAACTAGAGCCCCATCTCACTAAGAAACAAAAAGACAAGGGTACAGTTATGACCGCACACTTTTTTTCTTCTAGAAGATTTGCTTCAGGATGTTAATCTGGATGAGATATTTCTTTGTTTTTAGTACAATCCCAAAAGCATTGTCAACAAATAACATTGGAAAATAAGATTATACTAAACTTGAAAAAAAAAAAAACCTATACAACAAATACCAATGAAGAAACACTTTGCTGAATGGGAGGAGATTATTATGCGCTATCTGACAAGGAAGTAATTTCTAGAGTATAAATGAATTCAGTTCAGCAGGAATGGGGGGATGGCTAAAAGAATGGTTACAGGACCTGAATAGGCCTTTCTCAAGTGAATAAAGCACAAACACCCACCAAGCATGAGAAAATGCTCATTGTCATTAGTCACATGGGAAATGAAAACCAAAACAAACCGCAGGGAAATAAATCTTTCACTCCAGTTAACCAAAAAGACCAAACAGACACGCTTTGGATATGGAGAAAGGTAAAGCCAGATTGTTCCTAGGATCGCGAAGTAGTACTGCCATAGTAGGAATCAGTATGGAGGTTCGTCAGAAATGAGGGCTGAAGCTACTGCATCATCCCGCCGGTAGCCAAAGGGAACTGGGATGGGTGTGTTGAAGATTTATCTGTGCTCACAGCTGTTGCAGCACTAGTCTCAATAGCCAAAGCGTGGAATCAACCTAACTGTCTCTTGGCAAATAGAGAAAATGTTGACATGTGTGAGCAGAGGATTTTCCCACTGCTGAGGCAACACTGTTCTTAGTGCTCTCAGCGATGCACCCTTCCCCACAAGGACGAGCTTTCCCTACTCTCGTGCTGGTCCTGTGTGAGCTCCAGAAGGCTCTCCCTTCTGAGCGCTTCTTTCCGTGACCTCACATAGTGTTCTGACTTCTCGTTCTGCACTGACGGCTCTGGGAGCCCTTTCTTTGCAGGTCCCCCACTTCTCTCTGTCCGTTTGTCCTCTTCAGTATTCTGCCTTGTGAACTCCAGCTGCCATGGTGCAGCGGTTCTCCCAGCTATCGATTAGGGAAACTCCCGGGTTCCTGCGCGCCAGCACCCCAACCTAGAAACATCCTGCCGGCAGTTCAGCAAGGACAGTTAAAGCTCTCTTCATTTCATCTCTGCTCTAAGAGGTCATTGTCTTCCCAGAGCCTAAGGGCCACAGTGTATCCATTTCTGCTTGGTATTTTGATTGAGGAGAGCAGGCAAATGTGGATCCTGAGGCTGGCTTGACCCATTTTTTTCTTTTTGCTTTATTTTCTGATTTTATAAAAGAAACATATATTAGGCTTTAAAATTTTTATTTTTGGTTCCATTTTCAAAGTTGCATTAGGTGAAGGTACATTTTCTGAAAGTCTAGCTGGACTTTTCAGCATGTTAGATGCATAATTAAAATGTCTATGCCTTAAACATGGACAAGGCAGGGTCCAGACCAGGGAGTTGGCTGCCCAAGTTACGGAAATTTCCATCTTGACTTCACAACCGGCACCTTGAAGCATGAAATGACATCCAGACCCCAAGCCTTCCATCCCTAGTCTCACTGTTCATCATCGCCTCGGCCCTGACGTCTGCTGACCTCATTCCTTTGGTCACTTGGTAACCTGCTTTAAGAAAGAAAGAATAAAGCCGAGGAGGGAATTGAGACTCTCCTCTGTGTTGATTGCCCTGCAACGTCGGCGAGACAGGCTGGGTTCGATTCATCTTGAAAGTAAATCTCAAAATATGAATGCATGCGGAGCTGGCCATGGTTGGGTTTCCTTTGCTCCTGGACCCTAACCGAGCATTAAAATGCCAGGCCTGTTCTAATTCGGGTTGAAGAACGTCTTGTTCCTCTTTGGTTGCAGCTGGAATAATTTTAGGATACATATGGGTTCGTTCTCACTTTATAGCTAACTACTTCTTTTCCAGTGCATGGAGAGAAATTGGGGTTTAAAATAGCTCATAAAATTCTTTTGATTGTTTTAGGTTTTTTATTGTTTATTTATAGGTTAACTATTTCAACTATTTGCCTTTTTATGTGCATTAGCATTTTGCCTGCGTGTGTGTCTGTGTAGGAGTGTCAGATACCCTGGAACTGGAGTTACAGGCCATTGTGAGCTTCTCTGGAAGAACAACAGTGCTCTTAACCACTGAGCCATCTCTCCAGCCCCCAGAGCTGTCCCTTAAAAAGAAGAAAATGACGCAAGGTTGTAGCTGTACTACAGCACTGCAGCTCTCCATTTCTCTCTCCAGACGAAGAACTATTGGATGTCTCTGCATCTGTCTTACCGGAATTGAAGAAAGAAACATATGGCCAGATTCGAGTGTGTGCGAAACAGAGGCTGGCGCGCTACGGTTCCTTTAACACAGTTCAGACGTCTGAGAAGATACAGAGGAAAGTGAGCTCAGAACCCAGCAGCCCCCAGGGAGGAAAACAAGGTACCTGCCTTTGCTTCGCCCGTGGAGTCTGTAGGTTGCCTTGAAATAATGGTAGCCTGGGCGATATGCAGGCATTTCCAAATGAGCTCTCTAGACCATGCCTTTTTTTTTTTTTTTTTCCAACAGCCAACTTTTCACTTGCCTGAAGTCAAACAATTATTGGCTGCAAAAGACTTGCTGACTTCACAGTGTGCGAGCATGACCGCACGCCTGAAATCGATCCAGTCAGCCTTGATCAATTGGCTTGCCTTGCCTGGCCCCTTTGATAGATCACAGGAATTTATGACTTGGGAGAAACAACACTTGTTTTGCCTTCTTGCTTATTCCTAATGAGAAATCATCATTAACGGCTACCTTCTGGATTGCCTTTCTTGAAACAAAACCAGAACAGATTTAAGATAGCCTTCAAAAGCCCTAAGCCACAAGGAGTGGTCTCTGCCCTGTGTGTCTGCATACGTAAGGCTCCCGCTGTATTTGCTAACCTTCACGTTCCCTTCCAGGGTCAGCGTATTCCCTAGAAATTGGAAGTCTGGCAGCCATCTACAGACAGAAAGTAGAAGATAATTCACAGTAAGTCCTTAAGAACCCAGAGTGTGATCTTCTGTACATTGGCTACAATGAAATTGAGGAAAATGAGCTCGGAACCCAGAAGCCACTTTAAATCAGTTGTTTTATTTTTTTTAATCCACTCATTTTATGGAGTAACATATTTTCTCCTTTGTGCCCAACACTGAGATACTATTCTCAGTGACACAAATGCCTGCAAACTGTCCCCTAAGTCGTCACAGAGGAAGCAAAATAGAAAAGCCCACCAGTTAGTACCAAGTTACCTTCTCATCACCATAGCTTATTTAGTTAATAAGCGTGGGGTCTTCTTCTTATCATTAACCTCTATAGACAGTGCACTAAGGAAGGGATGAGAGAGGCTGTTAATGACAGGCGTTGAGAAGACAGACTGTGGGCCAGGGCTGAAGAGACCCACAGAATGCTGATTGGTGTAGCTGTCATTTGTCCACACTGGCTAGTTAAGTGAAATACCACCCATGAGAAGCACCCGGGTGTCGGGAGCAGCCTGCAGATAAAGGCTGTCACTGTCAAGTCTGATGACCCAGGTTCCATCCCGGGCACCCACATAGTAGAAAGAGGGACCTGGTTCCTGAGAACTGCCCTCTGACCATCACACGTGCCCCGTAACATCTGTACCCACACACGTACAGAAATCGTAAGAGCCAAAAAACAATAGAAATATGACAGGAGCATTCGGGCATAGGTCCAATTGGCAAAATGTTTAAAGTTGAGAGCGTTTAAATCTACCAGACACACAATAAAAAGAACATTGTGGGTTCAGTGAGGAGCCTCCTTGCCAAGATAAGGACTTGGGGTCGGAAGCAGAGAAGATCTCCCGGTGGGTAGACACAGAACACAGCATGCGTGGCTTCTGCCCAGCCGTGATGCAGATCTGAGTCAGCTGAACACAGGGGCAGTGTGAGGCGACGACTCAGGAGTCCTGGTCCAGGAAGCACCCAACTGCTTCCGGGGTCAGGGCACCCCACAGTTCCCGGGGGAGGTGAAGAGTTTGACGGCAGTAGCCGGCAGACACTGCAGACACTGCGGCCTGGTGACTTGCAGAGCTCAGGTCCTTGCTCAGGGAAGCCATGGTTGGAGAGAGAAACTCATCTTTGCAAAACTGACCCATGGTAAAGTGGGGCTCAGTGACCTGCACAGACAACAGAAATCCACGTCCTCTGCTTACCAGAGGTTAATCCAGTTCAAAACATGAGTGAAGTGTATTAACATATTGAATATTTGGGTTTTTTTTTAATATATGGAAGGCCCAAAGGCTTAAAATGGGGCTTAATTTTGAATGTGGACTGCCTGAGCATTCTTTATTAATACCGAACAAACTGAGAAGAATAACAAAGTACCAAGCTGGTAGATAAGTTGACTTCTTTGCTGCCCACTTTTTCTTCACATGGAACTCTAGGCAAACTAGACTAGCTTTCCTTTACATCAGTCTAGCCCAGACTCCCCTGCACCCCTACTGTCTCCCAGTAACCGGGAGCTTGGCCTGTGCCATCAAACAGACCAGCAGTGAGGCCCAATTCCACATCTTTAGAACCATAGCGGGAGGGCTAACCTCTGAGCTTGGCTTGGGTTTTCCTCGTTAGTAAGCAGGAATGAGAGGAGCTATGACTGTTGTACTTCACACGGTAAGGACCAAGTGCCTGATAATCACTAACCGTTAGCTGTGGGAGAACCAGTGTCAGAGGTCACCCGAGAGCCCCGCTGCTCTTCCTCACGTTGTCCCTATCCAGCCAGCCAGAGTGCCCCTGTCTGCCTCTGTTGACTAGGGGCCGCACTTCCGACTTGAAAAGCAGAGAATCGGAGGCTGTGACAATGCTCAGTGACTTGCTGGTACCCACTGTTTCTCTTTATTGCAGGGGGGGAGCCTTCTCCAGTAAGAGAGTGGTGCCTCCAGCAAGCGGCTTGGACCCTGCCCTCCCCGTTGACTCTGAATACTGTGTGAAGCCTGTAGCCCACCCAGTGTTCTCTGTTGCTCAAACAGACGTGCAGGCCTTCACCACACAGAATGGTCTAAATGGACAAGTAGGTGTCCCCCTTCCTGCTGCAGCCTCCGACACAGAGGGCTTAAAGCCAGCTCTGCTTGCCAGCCAGCCCCTGGTATACGTGCCCTCCACCTCTCTGTTCATGCTGTGCGGGAGCCTGCAGGAGGGACTGTCCCCAGAGTCGAGGTCAGAGGAGGATGGCGGTGGCTCAGAAGTCCCAGCTGACCTGTCACTGACACCCTCCTCTCAGAAGCGCCTGTGTGAGGAGAGGGATCCTCAGGAGGAGGATGAGCCTGCCATGAAAAGACAAAGTCAGGAGTTTGAAGACAGCCCCTTATCTCTAGTCATGCCCAAGGTAAGGGAATGTGGGTAAATGTGCTGTCTCATTTGCTCAGAGCTTAATGAAGACACACGTGCTTTCAGACAGTAGAGTCTGGCATTGGAGTATATTTCATATGTTCCTCATCCCCAAAAAGAATCTTACCATAAAATACTATAATAAAATGATTTTTATTTTTAGAAAAGTCACATTTCTTATAAAATGCCAAAAAAAAAGGTATATAAAAAGAAGAGCTTGCCTGTTAGTACCGAGTAGCAATTGCTGTTAACATGTTTGTCTGTCTCTTTCCAGTTATTTTTAATGAACTTAAAACAAATTTGCAAATCATTACAGTAATCATTTGGGCCCTGGAAAGAGTGGGTTTCCTGAGCCAGGAATGTGGACGCCTCGGGAGGGCTGGGACTGGAGTGGGTCGGCTCTCTTGACTGCCCAGTAATCCTGGTTTCTTAACTACAGAATAAAGAACAAAAAAGTTGAGCTATCCACATTTTCCACTCAGTAGCCACACAGAGGTTGATGAGATGTGACCAGTAAGACTGAGGACCCTAAAAAAAAATAAATAAATAGCAAAGGCAGTGACAACCACAGTGTTTTTATCACAGCTGTGTGTGCTGGGTCAGCTAGGCACACTGCCACACAGAAATTACTCCCATGATTAAGAGCCTTTACCTTCTACCTTTCTCTTGCCAAAACTGTTTTTCTAATCATACATACAGCCCAGCATTGCAGATTGGAAGTGTAAGGAGGGAGTCAACTTGAGCATGGTGTAAGGGAGTTATAAGCAGGTGAAGGAGAGAGTAAGCAGAGTGTACATGGTAAAATTGTCGAACTGACTTAGCAAAAAATAAATCCTTTTTTTTTATTTTTAAACTGAAAGAGGTAAAGATGTGTAAGACTTACAAGTGTGTGTCTTAGATAAGCAAGGCGGCTCTGAGGCAGCCTACATCTCTTAGAAGACCCTGAAACAGTGGTTCTCAAACTTCCTAATGCTGTGTGTGACCCTCTAATAGAGCTCCTCGTGTTGTGGTGACCCCCAACCATGAAACTGTTTTTGTTGCTACTTCATAACTGTTACTTTGTTACTGTTGTGGATCATTATCTAACTATCTGACATGCAGGATGTACTTTCATTGTTACAAATGGACCCAAAGGGGTCACGCCCCATAGAAGACTGCAGCACCAACACTCCTGAGGCGTTACCAACACACAGGGTTTGCCTTCATAGTCTGAATGCCATGGCCAGATTGGCATTACTGTAATCCCTGTCATGTCTGTACTTAGGTGTCATAAGGCAATACACACCCATTTCAATTCGATACCTACAAAAAGAGTAAGACAATTAATCCAAGTGGCACAGGCCTGTACCCTTGTCTATATTGTAGATATTTTAAAGAATCTCCTCTAAAACTGACTGCTGGAATTTTTACTTGGCTTCTCTGCTTTCTGGTTTGGTTGTGCTTAGAAACCCTCAAATCCCGCAGACCTCACCTGCCCTGTGACCACGGGGAATGGGAGAGGTACACCCCCGGAAGACGCCTGTGCGAAGGGTCAGCTGCCTGCAGCAGAAGTGTCAGGAAAGGCTGCTGCAAACTGCTTCGTTGCTTCTGACTGTGTAAACCCTTCAAGAAACCCAGACACTGAAAAGCCTTCGAATGAAAACGAGATCACCAAAGACCCGTCCCTGCTGCAGTACCTGTATGTGCAGTCTCCGGCAGGTAAGGCATTCCCTGTGGCATTTACTCCTTTGCCTGTGTCGCCTGGCCAAACAGAGCAGCTAGCCTCCTGATTTTCAGGGTCTAGAAGCACCAAGAACATCATCATGATCTCCAATAAGAGGGCTTGATACTTAAAATCACTTACTGCCCACATCAAATTAGGACAATTGCTCAGATACTCTCACTGGTAGAAGAGTAGTAATAGCACCTACTTCGCTGCAGTGCCGAGAATATTGAACTGTCCAAGTACCTGGAGTGCCAGTACCAGCGCTTACCAAGACTCGGTAGCTCACTACTTTGGACAAACTGAATTAGGAAATCTATTAGGATGTGTCCTATGTGGGTAAAGTTGTTCTTGCTACAAAGATGTTGTATGAGTTACTTTTCTTGGTGTTACAAGGAAATACTTTAGAACAACTTAAAGAAGGGAACGTTTATTTTGGCTAGTTGCTTGGGAAGGCATGGGGAAAAGAGCACAAGATGGCTGGTTGTATTGCATCTGAGGTTAAGACCCAGAGAATCGCTTGCTTCGGCAGCTCGTGCACTGAAATTGGAACGATGCAGAGATTAGCATGGCCCCCGGGGATGGATGACCTGCAAATTCATGTTAAAAAATATGTTAAAAAATAAAATAAAAAAGACCCAGAGAGGGTTGCATGCTGTCACTCACCAGCTCGCTACCTTTCATTCAGTTTGGGACCCCCGCCGATGGGGGTGTTGCCCACAGCAGCCTCGTGACACATGTCTCCAGACAATTCCTGATTCAGTCAAGTTGACAGTGAAGATTAGCCACCAAGTTTTGGAAACAGCTTTCCTCCCGTTAGTTCCTTGCAGGCTTACGTCCGGTCTGCCAGTCAGAGGAAATGGGTGCTTCACCTTATTTGTCTGTTAACGTCTTCAGCTTGGAGCGTTGAGTCTCAGACAAGTCAGTGTTGGGGGTGCATAAATGAGTAAGCACAGACTCGGCCACTGTGGAAATGAAACTATAGTACAATACGGGATTGTTGGTTGGTTGCTTTCTTTGGCTTCATTCCTATTTCACAACCATAAACCATTATTAGACAGTTGAAGGGGACACATGGGCTCCTCGAAATGTTTACAAAGCAGACGACTTAGTGTAGAGGGTTGCAAAAAAAAAAAAAAACAATTACAGTAAGATTAAAGTAGAAAGTAAGTGGATTTAGGGCTATTTACACTAATAAAAAGGCGCCATGTTTTCAAAGCTGTGACGCACTAAGGGTGACAGTGAGACCTGCAGCCCGCAGTCACAGAACCTAGCTTTGTGTGTGGGTTGTGGGCAGAGGACAACCTCAGATACCATGCCTCAGCCACCACCCACTTTTCTTTTTTCTGTCAGCCAAGACTAGACTCACTAAGTAGGCAGTGCTTAAGGTCCAGTGAACCCCAGGGGTCCCCCTATCTCTACCTCCCTGGCCCTGGGGTTGCAAGTATGCACCAGCTTCTGTAAACAAACAAAACCCAGAAAGACAGGCATGCTGGTGCCTGGCTTTCTGGGTTGTTTGTTTGTTTGTTTGTTTGTTTGTTTACAGAAGCTCAGATTCAGGTCTTTGTGTTTGAAGCACTTTCTGAAGTGAATGATCTCCCCAGGCCCCATTATTTGTACTTTTCAATACTGATAAAAGTAGTATTAGTACTATTATGATTCGTTGCCTATGATAGTTGAGGAAAATCTGTTTAAGTTTGTGATGATAAAAAATAGGGTTTCCCCACTAAAATTTCATTTTCCCCTTCATTTTGGATTCAATCAATTCCTACTAAGAGCCCCCAACAGGAGGATGGGGCATGGTTCAGTGAATAAAGTGTTTGCTGAGGCAACATGAGTACCCCAGTCCAAGTCCCCAGAACCCACATAATGCTAGGCACTGCCTGAGTGTACCCGCACTCCCTGCACTCCTGTGGGGAAACGGGAAGCTGAGACAGGAGAGCCTCCGGAAGCTCTTGGGACTGCTAGCCTGTTCTGTGCAGCAGTGACCGAGAGACCCTGCCTCAAAGTAGAAGGTGAGGACACAGCACCCAGCATGTTCCTCTCACGTCCAAGCACGCCTACATTCACACGCGAATGCACACGTCCACAGAGAAAACAATTTTAAAGCACTCTCTGCAGGCGTTGTCCACAAGACGCTGCAGGTAGATGTTGACACGCCACCTGTGTGGTGTAGCCATGTCAGCCGGAAGACCACAGCAGTCATGTTAACTGGCATCAAGGAGAAGGTGACATCATGCACTGGTTTACTGTGGACCCCTTTGGAGGCGCCATGAAGGATGTGAACATGAATGACATCTTTCACTGTGACTTTCTCTTTGTCTTCCTTATGTTGCAGGGTTAAATGGTTTCAACATGCTCCTACCTGGCGGGCAAACCCCCCACACTATGGGGCCGTCCTCGGGTCAGCTGCCGTCCTTCGGTGTCCCCTGCATGTTCGTACCGTCTCCAGGCTTGGGCCCCTTTCCAGTTCTCTATTCTCCAGCAATTCCCGGGCCCATCTCTTCAGCTCCCGGCACTCTGCCGAACCCGGGACCCATGAATTTTGGCTTGTCCACCCTGGGATCTACAGCTCATGTTCTCATCGGCCCCGCAGCCATGGTCAGCCCGAAGTCGTCCACCCTCCCTGCTGCAGACCCTCAGCTTCACTGTCAGCCCTCACTAAACATGAGTCCGGTGGTGCCAGGCTCGCACGGCATCATCCACCCCGAGTCCCCCAGCTACATGAGACATCCGGTATCGATGGTAAAAGTAGAGCAGGTGAGACCCGAGGCTCCATGGTTCATGTTGTTCTAACTGGGGCATGCCTAAATAGAGTTGGCTTTCCTCTCAGTCACCTGGCTAATACAGACAGGTATGACACCAGGCTCTACCCGCCTGTCAGTGGGAACCCAGTGTTAACTGCTTATTCCACAAAGCGTCGGCCTCCAAGACAAGAGATATCAGTCTTTAAGACAAACCTTTTCATTTGTCTTCCCACTTGCCAGTAGTAGAGGACCCTTATGAGGCCTAGTTACAGTTCTTTATACTTGGACTGTCTCCCTGATCTGTCATTTATCTCTTTAGGCTGTTTAAGGAGACCCTTCTAAATGTAATTATACAGCTGTAGGACAGCTCACTCAGTGCTAACTCAGATTCCTGTCAGCACCCATCATTTCTTAAAACATGCCACCTGGGAGCTAAGGAAACACACACAGGTTACACACTTATAAAACACACATAAGCAGTGCCCACATAATCAGTTCTACGTTTGTCTCTGGGATTCCTTGTTATAGTCCAGTCAGTAAAAATCTGTTCCATTCTTATAAGACACAGTGTTCAGAGACACGAACTGCACTCCCGAAAAATGTTCTTCTGTTTGGCTAAAACTAGTTAGTGAAGTTACCTAGAGGCTCAGAAGTTTGCTAGATATTTAAATAATCACATTCTTTTTTAGACACGGTTTTGTTTTGTTTTGGTTTTCCCAGTGCTGGGAGTGAAACCGAGGGCCCCACGGAAGCTAGGCAAATGCTCTGCCATTGGTCCATATCCCTTGCCTGAACAGACACGTTTTAAAAAGATACTTTTCTTATTAAATCTTGAAGGATTTCATACAGTATATTTTGAATATTTCCATCCCCTTCTCCCACTCCTCCCAGGTCTTTCCCTTCCTTGTCCAGCTTTGTTTTCTCTCAAGGGGCCTGCCTCAGAGTGGTCAGTGTACCTGGTATCACACTGAAGAACACCGACTTTACCAGCAGCACGCACGCCAGGAGCCCCTCAGATAGGATTGGGATACTGTGCCCACTTCACTTGTGTGCTGGGTTGTTGTTGGGTTGTTTTGTTTTTTTTTTTTTTTTAATTTTTTGAAATAAAAATATAACTACATCATTTTGCTCCTTCCCCCTCCCTCTAGCCCTTCTTGTATACACACCCCCCCACACTCTTAAATTCATGGCCTCTATTTAACTTTAACTAATTTAACATTAATTCCTATATGTGTATTTACACACATGTGTGTGTGTGTGTGTGTGTAATTTGTTCAGTCCCTTTAATGCTACTTGTGTATATAATTTCAGGGCCAACTACTGTTGTTGGCTAACCAGTTTGGAAGCTCTTCCCTGGGAAAGACTGTCCGTTCTAACTCTCATCCTCTGT